TATATATATATATATATATATAATTCGACTATTATTTTAGTAGTAGCTATACAATGTCAATTTCCCTTCTTCTTCTTTAATATATATATATATATATATATATATAAATAATTCGACTATTATTTTAATAGCAGCTATACAATGTCAATTTCCCTTCTTCTTCTTTTTCCATTAGTAATAAGATTTTTAACTCTTTAATCACTTAGATAACGACTATTTTGTTCCATTTTATATGGAAATTCCTATATAAGAGAAGTTTAAAATATTTTCAGCTTCAGTTCTAATTATATAGGTCTTGAAATATAGGACAATAGGAGTGGAGAATTTCATGTAAAGTTTCTTCAATATATATCTCCTAATAGGGACTAAAAAATGAACAAAAATGGCATCTCAAAAAGGCTATTTAATAAAGAAAGAACTACATTTCAAGTAATTGAACACAAGTACGTACTACGTAGTAGTTTATTCGTTTGTACTTTTATCGTGAGAACAGATTTTGAATGTGTGTCATTTCCAAATTGGGAAAATCATCAACCAAGAAAACATTGACCTTGCGATTTTCTTTTCACTTTTTCTTTAAATTTTTACCTGAAAATTGACTTACTCTTATTTCGAATATATAGTTATAGAATATCACACTCATATTTTTTTTTTTGGGTAAATTGGATATTCCGACGAGAAAGATGTTTAAACTTCTTATATACTCCTAAATTGGTGGAGTATTTGTGGGATTATTTGCACCATATGACGTTCTTGTTGGGTGTGTGAAGAAAGTCTCACGTGAAAAGTAGAAAGAAAAAAGATTCTACGTTTTAGGAGTTGGATATACTCTTAATGGTGTGAGCCATTTTAAAAAAAACCGTGCCATCGTCACCAAAGCGAACAATATCGCACCATGCTAAAAGTATTTTTGGGTCATTTTAGCCTAACAACTGGTATCAGAGCCAATAGTTTGGTAGGACTATGGAGATGGCGGATTGTGGTGTGGGCCCGGGTCGGCTTAGTGCTTTTGCCCGTCTACAGGGTTTAAGACCTTTACCCATAGCTTTAAAGACACATACATAGCCTTTGGGCTTCGGTGACCGTAAATGCTCAAGATCATGTGGATGACACACAATTAATCTCCAGATTAGCCCATGAATGGTGATGGGTCATGTGGAACTTAGTTCAAGGGGGAGATTGTTGCGTGTGTAAATAAAGTCCCGCATGAAAGTAAAAAGATTCTACTTATAAGGAGTTGGATACTCTTAATGGTGTGAAGCCTTTTAGGAAAAAACATATTGGTTTGGTCCAAAGCGGATAATATCACACCATATTAAGAGTATCTTTAGGCCGTTTTAGCCCAACAACTGGTATCAGAGCCAATAGTTTGGCGATACTATATATGGAGATGGCAGAGTGTGGCGTGGGGGGCGACTTAGTGTCTTTGCCCGTCTACATGGCTTAAGACCTTTACCCATAGCTTTGAAGATGCATACACAGCCTTTGGGCTTCGATGACCGTACATGCTCAAGATCATGTGGATGACACACAATTAATTTTCAGATTCGCCCATGAATGGTGATGGGTCATGTGGAACTTAGTTCAAGGGGGAGATTGTTGGGTGTGTGAACAAAGTCTCACATGAAAAACAGAAAGGAAAAAACTTCTACTTATAAGGAGTTGGATACTCTTAATGATGTGAGGTTGTCTTTTAGGAAAAACCGTGCGGGCTTGGCCCAAAATGGATAATGTCACACCATATTATGAGTATCTTTGGGTTGTTTTAGCCCAACAGTTTTTTGAGGTCACTATTTAAATTTTAACCATGTTTAATCCAACTGATTAATTTTAGCTTTTAAAAGTGGTCTAATGAAGTTCTATAGAGAAATTTAGCCCATTGAGGTAACGAGGAACATATTTTCAAGAACAACAGTAACACCATATTCAATGTAATATAAATTTAGCCCATTGCGCTAACAGGGAACATAATTTCAAGAACAATAATAACAACACCAACATACTCAGTGTGATTCCACAAGTAGAGTCTGCGAAAGATGAGATCAATGTACGTAAACCTTACCCCTACCTTGTGTGAGGTAAAGAGACTGTGACCTTACCCCTACCTTGTGTACGGGCAACATAATTTCAAGAGCAGCCTAAAAATGGGCCATTTATGCAAATGTCCTTATTTGTGTATGAGCTAAGTGATTTGTGGCTATTCCATTATCTCACCTCCAACCCTTTAAATATGCTTTGTCATCAAGAAGATCATACATACAGTCAACAAACTTCCCCCTTACTATAATCTTCAATCCTTCAACTTCTTCTTTCCAAAGGAAAAAACCAACCAATCAAAATAGACCCAAAAAGAGAAAAAAGAAATTAATTTCAAAAAATGGTGTCTTCAAAATCAGAAACCGGTCTAATTTACAACATCAAGTTTTCCTCAGTTGGACCAGCAAATGTAACAGGACAAGATGTAGTTTATGAGCCAAGCAATATTGATTTAGCCATGAAATTACACTATTTGAGAGGGATTTATTACTTTAATAGCCAAGTATTTCAAGATGTAACCATATATCAAGTTAAGGAGCCAATATTTTTATGGTTTAACCATTTTTATATGACAGCTGGTAGGTTTAGGAGAGCAGAAAGTGGGAGGCCATATATCAAATGCAATGATTGTGGAGCTAGGCTTATTGAAGCACAATGTGATAAGACTATGGAAGAATGGCTAGAAATGAAAGATGCTACTCTTGAAAAATTACTTGTTTCTAATCAAGTTCTTGGTCCTGAGTTGGCTTTCTCTCCTCCAATCCTCATGCAGGTATTGCTCCTTCTTGAAATTAATTAGGTTCTTTCTAGTTTAATTATACAATATTCGATGCGCACTGACTCGACTAATTCAGGTTTTTCGTTGGGTAGCCGCCTATTAAAAAAATAAAATTCTTCTTACCAAAGAGTTCTTCATTCTCATAATTCAAACACGAGACCGAGCATTACATTTTGGTTTTAATCTTGCTTGGAGGTAGAAGAAAGGGTATAGCTTGTTGGAGGGGGATGTTTTTGAGATTTTTTTTTATTTTTCTAGGGCTATAGTCAGGGGCGGACCTAGAGTATTGAGCATAGGTTTCCTGGAACCCAATAACTCTTGCCTAGACCATGTATTTATATTAAAAAATCCTCTAAATATTTATAAAAATTTAATTATGAACCCAATTATTATTTTATATTAATTTGAGATTACGACAGGAACACATAACCTTCAAATCCTAGATTCGGCTCTGGCTATAGTAAAATTCAAACAGAACGAAAAGTTACTAATACCGCACCTAAGAGTGTGGTCTAGTGATTAATAAAGTTGGTGAAAATAATAAGGGGAAGATGACATATATTCTGTGAAATTAGTCGAGGTGTACATATATTTCGTGAAATTAGTCGAGGTGCACACAAGCTGGTCCGGATACTAGAGTTATCAAAATAAACAAAAAAAAAAAAAGTATCAAATAACTTGGTCTACTAATATTTGATAGATGCATATCTCCTTTCAATGCTTCCTTTATACCCAACTTTTTTTATTCATTCCGTATTCAAAATTCATAAATCTATTAGTTTAAATTGTATTACATGAAACTAACTAAATGGGATAAAATGCTTCTTTGAAGCTTGCCCAAATATATCATATTATATGTATAATAATTCAAATATCCAGAAGAAATTAATTAGGTCCAACCAAGTGGCAATTATTTCTCTATCGTATTAAAGATTGTATGTTTGTATATGGTGACAGATATTATGTCAATTAGTTGAGGTAGTTGTGGTCGTTGCTTTGATAACTCAAGACTTTAATAAATGTACCAATTAAAGGAAATTGACAAGAAAATACTGCCATTATTATTTTGAACGTTATTACAGTTGGTTGGCTATTAATTCTTTTTTCTCTTGGGGGTGGGGGTGAGGGTGTAGTGGGGGGTCGGGGGTAACTAAGACTAGTTTTTTTAAAGGGATAATACATAAATACCCCATCAAACTTGTCCGGAAAAGTCATTTACACACTTTAACTTTACGGGTGTCCTAACACCCCACTATTCTAAACTTAAGTGTATTTATTACCCCCCTTAAAAAACTGAACCAAATTTTATGCTGGCTGTGTGTTGCACACGCCATAAAGAGGTTTTTTTCAGCTTTTTCATTTTTTTTAAATTTTAGTTTTTAAAAAACGAAAATATTATGTTAAAAAATAAAAAAAACAAAAAAAAAATCTGTTTTTACAAATTTGTGTTCCTAGTTTTGTACAAAATTTTTTTTTTAAAAAAAATAAATAAATAAAAAATATATATTTTAAAAAACGAAAAGCATTTTGCATAACAAATTGTAAAAACTTAAAAAAAATGGTTTTTTAAATATTTTCTTTTCATAAAAATTGGAAAAATAAATTTTGTAAAAACTGAAGAAAAAAAATTGTTTTTAACATAATAGTCTCATGTTAAAAAAGAAATAAACGAAAAAGAAAAGAGAAAATTATTTTCGTTGTTGAAAAATGTTTTTTTCCCTCCAGTTTTTCAATTTTTTTAAATATTTTCTTTTTACAAAAGTGGGAAACTAAATTTTGTAAAAACTGGAAAAAAATTATTTTTAACATAATGTTTTCATGTTAAAAAAGAAAAAACGAAAAAGAAAAGAGAAAAATATTTTCGTGGACCTATTAGAAAGTGACACGTAGACCACTAAATTAGTTTTAAGTGTTTTTTTTTGGGCCTTCACGCGCACCTAGATCGTGACCTACACGTTTTGCACAGAGGGGGGTAACAAATACACTTAAGTTTAGAATAGTAGGGTGTTAGGACACCCGTAGAGTTAAGGTGGGTAAATGACTTTTTCGAACAAGTTTGATGGGGTATTTATGTATTATCCCTTTTTTAAAAGGCAAAGTTGCAGGTTTGAACATCAATTCTAAGGCTCGAGAAGTATATGTTGCATATTTAATGATTTATGATATTTTTAAAATAACATAAAATTAGATAAAAGTATATAAGATAATGCATTAATGTTCTATAAATCAAGATCAACAATTACTCCAGAATTGGTTTCGTATATA